GATACAAGCTCAGCCACGTTTGGGATTGCATTCTCGCCGCAAAAGCGCCACCTACTTTGGCGTTAAATAGCGGCGAGTTGCAGAACTCCAGCCAGAAGCTCTGAGGAAGGTGTCTGATAGACATCGAAACGTAAGCAGGTGAGAACCTTACTGGTTGTGTAAGAAGAAAATTCTATACCCTAGGTCGGTGTTTTGTTTGGGTCCATCTCTCTCATTTATCCCTTAGTCTAATTATTATCTAATAAAAAAATACCTTCAAGTGTAGTCTGGATTACGGCTTGCCTGCTAGAATTAACAGCCGGTGTTAGCGCCAACCTGGAATATCGAGCTTTTGCCAAGTGGACAACTTGATAAAAAGTATTTGGAACCCTGCCCCCTCCCCCTCTCCCCCCACAGCACCAACTATTCCCTGTCCCCGCTACTTGTACCAGACGAAGTGGAGGTGACAGCGGCAGTACAGCCGGAGTGTCACAACTATACAGGTCCGGTAATGCACCTGCGGCAGAAAGAAAACCCTTACGGCGGTTAGTAATATTTCTTGTTGTATCTCCTGTCATTGATTATGCAAAACAAATAATGTTGTAATTAGCATTGTCTTTTCTATCCTGGAATATTCTCATTAATGATGCAATTTAGGCCATCAATTTTATTCTTTCATCTCTTAATGTATAGAAGTCCTACACCGCAGGCCCAAAGTCATGAAAAGCTGTCCTTTCTTTCTTCAATTACCCCTTTGAATGACGTTTACAAGAACGCCCCTGCAGTTCCGTATCAAGTTGCTGCGGGACTCTCATCGCTTTTTTCTGTCAAAAACACTATGTTACTAAACTATAGTGTGCCCAGGGCAAATGAAACAAACCCGAATATTTTGCTGCAGAACTAAGAACAACCACTAGGGGGCCCCAAATCGATCGACTTGTGCCTTTATCTCTTTGAGAGGGAGTGAATACGGTAAAACCTCCCCTCACGTAACGCTCTAGACACACATTGTATCTCCTCCGCCCATACACTCTAATTTTGTTGTGAACGCATTTGTACACATAACTAATATCGTTTTGTTCTGTTAATGTACTTACACAGTGAGCCCCGATCGTCCTTACATCCAGACGTTCACGCCAGAGGACATGAAACAGAAAGACAAGATGAGGGATCTGGGCTTCCGGTACAGTCAAGAAATCTCAGTCTTCAGTGCGGAGTATCAAGTCTACTTAAGACATGCGACCCTGACAACAGGTGAGTTAGAGAGGAGTCAGAGGAGAAAAATAATACGCAAAAGTCAGAAGAGAAATCCATTTTCAGTTTAGTTCTTAGTTGGCTTTCTATTTAATTATCTACCATTAGGCCATACCAATTTGTTGGTTCTCGGATTCGCCTCTTCCTTTTTTTCTGATTAGCAAAAAATACATTCTGGTTCTGAATCAACACAAATATGTTCATATTTTGCACCCAACAGTTGAGGAAAGTCATTTTCTTCCTTGTTGTTACAGTTTTTTTCATCTATCAATGCAGTGGTTTGATTAAAAGTTCAAAATTCATTGTTTGAATGTAAACCCAGCCTTTTGTGTTGACTTCGTGGCTCCTATCGTAGCATTTGGGGCTATCATAGAATGCTTAGACCTGCTTTTATTTTAATCTTTTTTTTTCGCCCTGTCGCTTCATATTTTTTCTGGAAAAAGTCCAAGAACCAACAAATTAAATTGGTGTGGCCTTATGATTTGTTGTCTGGACTATTAATTGATGAGTTATTTCTATAATGGTTGTAGGCAGTGTACAGGAGGACAGTTCACTGTGTAACTAAATATCTGTTTATTTGTTTACCACAAGTACAAACAGACAAGTGGAAGGGAGGACAAAACAGGTGTATTGACACCTTTACAAGTTGTCCTCCCAAACACAACAATATAAATACAGTACAATACAAATTACAATGTCGAACAATTGTTGACATGAAATACAAATTACAATAGTCATAAAAATACAATACACTGCAATAAAATATCAATCATTATATACAATTAAATATATATAAACAACTAAATGTAACTGTTCAACAGATATAAAAGCTGCCCTGGGCAGACTGACTGCGAACAGCGCCAGGTCTGAGTTTCTACACGTCATGGAGAAGTACGGGACACACTACATCAGTCAGGCAGTGTTCGGGTACAGGAGAGAGCACGTCGTCTACTACAGGTCACTAGGACTGGCTAACTGGCTCTGGGAATCATTTTCAGGTGATACTTATATATCCCTTTTTATTTAACGGTATTACTCAATGGTAAGTCATAGACCACTTCTAGGAACAGTGGTAGGTAGGTACTCGACTATGTCAGAAGAAGGTGGCAAATGTTTATATTATAAAACTAGAGGTCGGAGATCTCATGTCTTCGTCAGAGGTACATCGTTCTAGAGAAATTAACATGCGTATTCTTCAATCTTTTTCATAATCAATTTGGTCTAAAGAACAAAAGAATCTCTGTACTATTTTTATGGTACAGAACACCCTGAAACGGTTTGCCGCAGATTATACAGATGCGTCGTCACCCGTGTTAGCGCCCCCCCCCCCACGTTATTTGAGTTTGGACTGTTACTGGAAAAAAAAACGTTCAAGAAATTCTTACTGTGTTGAAAGTGTCACGACAGCGCCGCAAAATATAATAAGAGAAGATGTTATAAAGGAAAGAATCAGAACAGGGTGACTACTGCTGTTTTGTTAATTTGTCTTTATGACAAATAGAAGACTTGTTTCTTGTGTTCTTTGTGTCCTAACATTTGTACTTCTACAGTTACTATATTCCAAATCTAGGCATCTCGTTTTTCGGCCCTTCGTGTTTTTATTGCGCGCTTGCCTTAAATTTAAGGTAATTAGATTTAAGGTCTCCAGTGGACGTCATCCATAGCAATTACTTGGTGTGGCCGTAGAAAATAACCTGACATATGTCCAACCTCCCCCTGCTGAAGTTATAGTATAATCCCTCAATGTAACGTCATTTGATCCCATCCCATTATGGGGTTCCCCGGCTATATCCAGCTGTCGACTGTCTCCAAGCAGATGTAGGTGGGGATTTCTAAACACAAAAGGTCCTATTACGGGGACATAACGACCTCCACGACTCTCATCTTTGAACTCAATCTTGGAGATCACGACAGTAATATGCCTATCAAATTTCATTAACTTTCATCCACACATACAAAAGTTATCCTGCTCACAAGAAAAATTAACAAAATGCCCCCTGTAGTCACAACGAAACCCCCCACGAAGCTCAGTAACGAACTTAACCTTGGTCCCGATAATAGTAAGCACCACACCAAGAATTATAATCAACATTTTACAAATACTTGAGTTATCTTGCTAACAAGCTACAAACACAAAAAGTGCACTAACGTGACGCACGGACCCCCCACGAAGCCAAAACTTGTACTTGACTTCGGCCTTAACAGCGGTAATCTGCCTGCTAAAAATCATGGACGTCGAATCATGCCTTCCAGAGTTATATCGTAAAATCCGCAGTTCCCCACACTCCGGCGAGACAATTTCATAGTCCTTCTGACGAAGACAAAAAAGCTTGGTGATTGCATTGGAGAAGGGAAGTATGTGTTTTGAGGGAGAGTTGCACAAAAACCATTGCTGCAGATCGAAAGACTTTGAATGGTGTAATGATGTGAACTGGAGGAGAACCTAGTAACAAGCTGAAGTATCTCAGTAGTGGATGATGGATTTTGTGTCCAAAAGTTTTCGATTCCTTATGACGGACAGACGACAGACATTAATTGAATCTTATACAGATGTTTGTTTGTTTATTTGTGTGTGTGTTCATGTCTGTGTGGTTTGCGTGTGTTTGTGTGTGTATGCGTGTTTGTTTGTTTGTTTGTGTGTGTTTGTGTTTGTGTTTGTGTGTGTGTGTGCGTGTGTGTGTGTGTGTGTGTGTGTGTGTCCAAAGTCACGTGGCACGTTTGGAACCGCATTCCTTTCGCCCCAGCATATACTAACCTCCTATTAGGCCTTCTTCTCAGTCTGTGGTTACATCATTCCCCTCACTTCCCGTGACTCTACTTTATTCAAAAAAATACGGGCACGCTAAGCAAATAAACAAACAGACAAACAAACACACCGAAAATTTCCAAACAAAACGAAGATAATAATAGAATAAAAACGATTCATAGAAATGAATATTAAACCGTCTTCTTAAAATCTTGTAGCATCAGAAGGAGGCCAGTCGTTTGACACCTTCCTCGTCAGAACGTTAGGAACTCAGGATGACGTCAACCCGCCGGAGCGCGAACTGCCTGTCGGGATACGGCAAGTCCCGGATGTTGAGAAGGACGGTAAAGTTGAGGGGGTAAGGTCTGATTTCCACTGACGGACACTTTACGGTAACCGATGAGCGGCCAAAAAAACATGAAAAATTGTTAAGAAATCATTTGTAGACCGTAAAGGTCATTGAGACTTTAAAGAGAGCATTCTAAAGCTTGTGACAAATCTGTATGTTTGGGTGTTCAACGGTGTCTCAACGGTCTGTGTGCGGAATATTCCATTGAATTCATGAAGTACAATCATGGTTATGCATATGGTTATCAACTAACAGTGGCGCTTGTTGGTAGGTCCTTGCGATTGAGCGCCATACAAAATTTTTATTGTATGACGACGCTTGTTTTGTTATCTGTCGAAGTAAGATGATAGAACGGAATCATGGTGAAGTGCCATTTTCCACATGTAGACCAGGCACTTTTCACTAGATAATAGCTTAGTGCAATCCAGGCTGTCGACATCCATGTATCACTCCGCCACAGGTGCAGACGGTGCTCCGGTCCTGGGGTAGGTGTACTGTGGGTGGATGTTGTACTGTAGCTGATACCGTGATGGCCGAGCCTGCACTCCTGTATGTCAGCACACCAACACCGCTGTATGAGCTACTCAAGGACAAAGAGACAAAAGAGGTACACCTTAATGCTTGTTGATACTGATTACTTCTCAGTCGCCAAAACCAGGGCGGTGCAACTGTAACATTAGCTCTTGTTGGAGAGAGTATGCGTACGGTTTTCCTTGTATCACAGCAAAACTACTCTGGTACAAATAACCGGTATGTAATGTTTTTATGCATTTTTATCGGTTTTTGTCCTGGTATCATTTTTTGTGCCTGGCGAATGGATACTGACTACCTGGTCAATTCGTTACAGTACTGTCTTACAGCCACCGAACGATCTGCTTGAAGATAATGTGTTTGTCTACTTGTCTACATGTAATTTTTTTAAAAAGTCCCGTTCCACTCCACTTTCTCATAGGGGAGGTGCCCATCTCCATTTCTGTAGCCCTTAGGCCACACAGTTGTGCAAGCACCACAGCAAGGAGCTAGTCCATTGATAGAGAGTGTTGTGTATTTGACCTTCCCATACTCTTTCTCATAGATGCTGAGTGCTAAGCAGAGAAAGTCTTTGGTATGACCGGGCCGGGGTTTGAACCCACGGCCTCCCGGTTATAACAAATTTAACACTCTCCTCGATTGAGCTTACGTATAATTGCACCGGTTGTTCCTGTAGGTTTTTCGCAGAGCCCTCCTGAGTTACCTGTGGTGTAGCGGGGAGGGTGAGGTGGTAGGCGACACGTGCAGGTGTGATATCCACCCGTCCTACCCCGGTCACACGCTGGACTGCGCGCCGCCGCCAAAACCAAGGTATGTGGGGCAGAAACCGAGGTTGGGGTGGGAGGTCGTAACGTTTTGACTTCCCTGGCAGCAAACAAAGTTTTCTGCAGTCCTGCTAGCAACCTGTGCCGTTTTTTCTCACCCAAGTTTAGTCCACTTAGACATTAAAGCTTCCCACGATCTCCCGAACACTTAACTTTTAGCCAACCTCACAGACCAACTGTAAACCTTGCTCACAACTAACTCACAACCATGGTCTGGGGAAGGTTGGGAGTGGTCGGGAGATCATGGTAGGATATCTGTGACATGGCCTTCAAAAATCGTTACGATCTTACTTACAACTTCTGCTAGGAGATCGTGTAGTTCAATGGACTTGAGCACATGAGCGTTTTTATTTTTACCCATGTATCATGAGATACTGACTAATGATAGGAGACGCAGTTGGCTGTTGGAGGATATTCACCAAGCAGCCTTTATTTTACTGCAGTTTGTACCAGCCCGCCTCAGACCCTCCCACTGACACCACACTCACTGTCGCCTGGCAACACGTCGGGCGGGAGATCGGTAGTCACGTGACAGACTACCAGTTCGTCGTGAGAGAGGTCCGGTCTGCGGACACTGGTCTCCATGGAGACGACTTTATCAACCATCCAGGTGAGGAGGACTTTCGTCGTTTCCATTTTTTTTTACATTATATTACTTTCATATTACTTTTGTCGTTTATTATTGCGACAACGTGGTCTTCTGGCTGGGGTTGTTGATTTAGAGTCTGGGTTCTATTCTCTAGCAGGGTAATGTCAATGACCTGAACCGAACGGCTGTCACCATGGTAACTGGTGTTCTAGCAGACACCCTGTGGTGTTGGATTACATTACGTAGCAGGACAGAGTTAGAAGGGCTGGTCACTATGCACATTCATATGAGAATGTGTTTTTGTAAGAATAAACAGATCAGTAGTTTGTTAGGCAGACCTAGTGAAGGTAAAAGTTATGTATTTGCTTTGCAAACCTTACCTTTCTAGTCATACCTTGAGTTTGTGTCTTCCACAAGTAGATGCACACCATAGACAGAAGTTTACTGCACCTGACGTGCAGGGGGAAATGACGAGCAGGAAATATCTTGGGAAACGACTTTCTTAGCTACTCTTTACGTGATTGACATACTACTGGCATCCGCCAGGAGGCGCTTGCGTGTCGCTGACATAATCAAACAGCAACTGAGCATGGCGAACGCCAACACTGGAGAGGGTGATGATAGATATTTGGATTATCTAAGTTTCTGTATCTGTATCAGTATAGCCGGTATAACGGTCCTACCGCGTAACACACCAGCTTCGCAGGCACGCGGCGCGGCGGCAGCTTGCTATATCACACTAAACGACTTGTTACACTCAATCTTTGCACATTTAATTGCAGGAGTTGTTTAAAGCTTTCTAGTGATGATGCCCCTACTGTGCTTGGTGGCAACGAGCTCCACTCTACGATAGTTCTGGGGAAATACGAGTTTTTGAACACCTCATTTCTTGGTTGATAACTGTGATACTTGAAGACATGACTGTTTCTTGTTCTTTTCTGGGCTGGTATCAGATACTTAGTGGTTGGTACGTCCACCAGTTTATTAGTCATTGTTTACTGGATGTTTCCCGCAGAGCTGACTGTATCTGTGCTGGATGACGCGGTGTTCAGCAGAGCTGACGGCTGCTATGGTCGCGGACTGACCCGGCAGGGAGCCGTGTGGACCTTCTCACTTCTCCTCATGTGTCTGAAACCTGACAGGTTCTACAGGTAATCATTATCATGGAAACATTCAACTGATTTCCTACACAAGCACATTATTTTTCTCAACCAGTCCTCTTCAGGCGAACTCAGACTGCTCAAAGAGCGTGACCTTGACGGATGTGTGACGTCAACAATCGGTCAAAGGTGGTTTCTAGTTGATACCATCCCCCGTCGCGGTTGACGTTCAGTAAAAGCTGCGGTATTCTGATATAGATTTGGTTTGAGTTATTAACTGTAGATAGTGTATAGCATTCGAAATTGAAAGGACACAGTTTGTATCTCGGCATGTTTTTAAGATGTTGGCAGGACTAAACGGACTAAATGGATTGGCTGTATCAGTATGAAATTAAAGTGCAAGTGTTGGTATATAACGGTATGGACAAACTCAGCTTCTTTTTCGACTCGCCGAGTGATTGACTATTTCAGTGGCCTTTGCCAGGATGACTGAGGTGGAACTCCTCAGGGCAAATAAAGGAAGTTGTAACGTTCTTTTTATCATGTATCAGGTATTATGTTTGTCAGGCCAGTAGTGCAGGTTGTCTCTCTATTTAAAATAACGTCTTTGGTTAATGCATCTGAATTGTAACTGTTCTTATTTCTTATTCCATATGACGAGGGCTAGCCCTTTATAGTAGACTCCGAATAATTGCATAATTGGAAAGTCCTAGTTGTATTATAAATATCAATTTGTGTGTTCATTGTTGATGTTTTGATGTATTTATGTCTTTTTAAATGTATTCACTGTATTTTCACTGTATCTTTCATGTATGTGATTATGTAATTTTAATGTCTGAGTCTTGGAAGACTAGCCCTGCAGGGCTAAAAGGCTTCGAAATAAATGAAGTGTATTGTACTCGTAGATAAGTTTGTAAGGTGCCTGTGTCGGATATAAGTGGCTGATTTATTCCGTTTTTGGCCACGCCACAGGGTGAGTGCCCGTGTGTCCACACGTGACGGGGCGGTGTCACCATCAGACGTGCTGACCGTCAGGACGGAGTGTCAAACACCTCAGCTCAACCACCAGCCGACAGGTGAGATCTGCCCTTCTGTTAACCTTCTCACACAACTCAGATATCACAGAGATCATGCCCGACATACAAGGAGAGTATTCAAGACGACTCTGATTTCATGCCCAACATATAAAAAAAAAACAGACAAAAGTTGATGTATTCAATCGCTTTCAGAACTAATGCTATATTATACCATTCAAAACCAGACAAGTTCAATATGTTCTACTCAGATATCAGTGTACGTTGGAAAATCTGTACAAATCATCCGATATCACTACAAAAGCGACACCGTATTGTAAATAACTAAATCTCCTGAATCATAGAATGTAATAGAATACTCTTCGTAGGAAAACATATAATAGATAGGCTTTGGTAGAATAGTATAGTTAGTATGGATTAACTCTGTTAGAATTGTATTTTAGCATAGTTCATGTATCTACCCTTAGGTTTGTTGTTTATTCACTTCCATACACTGTACCAGTTAAGTTGATTTGATTTGTTTTTGGAACGGATAGAATCATGTTCATGTAGTCAACTACTCTCTGCTTTGTGTTTTTCGTATGAATTATCAAAGCACGCGTGCTAGCATCTTTTTCAGTCGAAAGGCAATGACTTAACAGCGTAATACAGGATGACACAGGTCCTTTGCAAAATGAATGTTTAGCACAAATGTTTAATGCAGTAACTTGTAATGTAGTCAGAAATGCCTTTTACGTAAATTGGATTTGACTGCAAAATCCTTAGGGCCATACTAGTGTTTTTAGGCATGCCAAAACTTGGTGTGAGGGCTCTTGTTGTTACTGTTTGCCTCACTTTCTACACATTCCGCTAGGTGTCGCTGATGCCTTATACAACCTGTATGCCGGCTACACCTCCCCTCTCGCTCAGAACATGGCGTTCCGAATCCTCACCTCCCTCAACACAGCCGGCCTGCACGACGTCGCCAAGACGTACGAGGAAAAATACGACAACTTCTTGCTAAGAACACAGGAAGAACTCGGCTTGAAAAGAGCGCTTCTGATCAACGCTAGTCTCACAGCATTATCAGAAAGATGTAAAACCCAGGCTGAGTCGGGAAAGGTCGTACAAAAAGTACGCAGACGGTTTAGATGTTCATTTGAAGGGCTGGACACGAGGAAAGGCATACGGGAAGTCACCCTGAGGGAGATGGAACGGTCCTGTGTAAAGTACGAAGAAAAGTACGATTCATACGATTGGGAAAAGTCTATGTATGAAGAATGACCAATTTTTATTGTAGCATATTTCAAATATTATTTTATATAATACCTTATCACATTTTGCAGTAAACATTTTCAAATCTATTACGTATAAAGATGTGTTCAGAGCCATCTTAAACAAACCAGAGGCTGGATTCAGAAGCAAGAGCATGAATGTTTTCAAGAACAGAACATATGTCATTCAATTGATGTAGCATGCTATGTGCTGAAAACTGTTAAGTCATACAAATAAGTTGTGTGATATGATGCCTTTTTAAAAGTCGTTTATTGTGTCATCGCTCAACGATGTGCTTGATAAAATGCGTGTATGTACAATTGAGTTCTAACCATTGGCTCTGATGGCTAACAAAGTTTTTTGGCACTTAACCAATAGATGCATGTACCTGCCAACTTTTCAGAAAAACGTTATAGTAATGGTTAGAGCCCATTTGTGCATACGCGCACATTGTAAATCATTAAATTGTCAACATGACAAAATTAAAGGAGCACACATATTTTGATTGAAAAATATTTATGTTATTGTCATTTCCTAATACGTTTCAACATATGTATGCTAATATTTCATTTTTCTTGATTCTATGATTGGCGCTAAAAAGCCTACACGACTCACACTCATTTTGTGGCATCAACAAAAAATACCATATTGTAAAAACATGACTGACATCTGTGTTTCTATTCTTTTAAACACACTCGTCTGGTGCAGTATTTTGGCACCTCCTCCACCAAAATGGCAGTTATTTGTAAAGGAGAAGAGTTGATTCAATTTACTTTGTAAAGAAATGACCAGAAAATTTACTTGTGTATACTCGTATTGTTACAGAATGCAGCTTTAAACTTCCAGTATTCCGCCAGGCATTAATTCTGTTATATGCTCAATAATGTAGTGAGAGAAAAATCGTCCGGTCTTATATAAGTGAGGCAACGTTAGGCTTAGAAAAATGTTATGTTTTCTGTTTTCCAACCTACCCTAGAAAAACTCCCGACCCTAGCCTTCTTTTTGTAGATCCCTGCAAGGGACATAAATCTTTTGTTTGTTTATTTGTTTATTTCAGTTTACCACCAGATATACAAGTGGAAGGGAGTACAAAAGAGGTGCATTGACACCTTTACAAGTTGTGTTGAGGTGATCGACGTTTCCTAGCTCCATGATCTGACACATTAGCGATGAAACGTTGTACAATTGGTTTTCTAACGTTGTCATTGAAAATATAAGGGTCAGTTTTACTTGCACGCATGCACTTGTTATACTGTATTGATAGCGCCAGAGATCGCCAGTCTAATAAAAAAAAAGAAAAAGAAAAAAAAAAGATAACCCCTACCTACCGACCCTGATTATTTCAGGACTGAAACAGGAAACACAATAATTTTTCCTAGGCCTTACAAACTTACATGTAGGGATGAGCGCTAGCTCGTGTTTGCGGAGGTCGGCAGAACGACCCAGCGACAGGCGCTGCAGATTAAAACCCTGGCACGCCGCTGACTCACCAAACCACGCCGTCCGCAGTTGATTAAATTAGCAATGGTAATCCGGCTTGACTGACGCGGATGCGCCGACCTGTGCTCCTGGCGGGAATCAGCGGGACCTGCCGTCCATACCGCCCCGACAGGACCTCAGCAACTGGGCATGATTGGATTGTACCGTACCCGGAAAGGTTATCACTCTTCTTCATCATATGAACGTAAATTTCCGTCCTAACGCTCCCGATTGTTTGAGTTACCTCCATGAAAATGCAGAAATTGTTTTTGGTCTCTGTGTGTGTCTGTGTTGCCGAATATTTGTGGTGAGCATAGGTTACAATGGATTGTGATGATATTTGGTATGTGGTGAGGACAAAGGTTAAGGTCAAATGTGGGCCTCCTGGCGGCTGTCCTTCGTACTGCAGCGCAACTATTTTTTGTGTGTCTTTTGTCTTAGACATGCTATAGGGCTTTGACTTTTATTAAAATTCTTTTCATGGGAGGAAAAAGTGATTTAGGTTTGGTTCCCCTAAAAGCTTGTTCTGGAACTGCAGGCCTAGGGTAGCCTGGGTGCCAACCCCAGTAGTATATTCGCCAGCTATAACAGCTCTATAACTGGCCAGTTATAGAGCTGGCGAATATACTACTGGGGATGGTACCCAGGCTAGGCCTAGGGGCGTTTTGGTTAAAGTCTTAGAGGGCTAATCTTAGAGAAGAAATAAGCAATTATAAAGGTTCATGATTTTGGCATGTAGCTGACAGAGATGTACACATTGATATGCAAATAATGCAAATGAGGACCTGATTTGAATAATTAATGAGAAAATTTCCTTGTTTTATGTAATGTGACTTCATTACATGTAACGTGTACTGTATGGCAGGTGGAACATAAACAGATGCCAATCATACAAATATAATAGGCCCTCACTTGATAACTGATACGAAAATGCCAAAGTTTGTAGTGATAAATGATGGAATTTCATACTTGTGATGAACATCGCTATGTTATAGGTTATTTAAATGTAAAGGTCCTTTGCATAACTAATGAAGAAACGTTAAAATGGAAGTCTTCCAAAAGATAAGACTTTTACACATATATGTAATTTGAATAGATAAGACCATCAATTTAAACAGATTGTACTAATTGCGACCTCACTTTCATAGTAAACCCTACTTGCACTATAAAACAGCCATATTTACAAAAGCTGTAAATATGTCATGGAGGTATGACATCTCTGAAATCTTGTTGTTAATCAGAACTCTACCATTGACGTGATTCATCTTGGCTTTCTGGTGACTAGATCTACAGAGCTAATTTTATAAGTCCTTTCGCTACTCTCACGGCTGCCAATATAGTCAAAGGAAAACTTGCACTGTCTGCATTATGTTTTTTAATACTTGTTCTTCAACTTGAGCATTGCCCAAAACTTTATTCTTCACTGCAGACCACATGCGAAGATAGTAAAACCAGGCGCAGAGAAATTGACGCCTTTTTATACTACTAGTAATATCACTATAGTAATAATCAATTTGTTGTTATTTGTTTCTTTCAATTTATAAAAGATACCTAAAAAATTCTGATAGTACGACCATTCTTAATTTTGTCCATCCGACGGGAAAGTTTCTCTTTTATTTTGTTTGAATTCATAACTTTATCATTATTCTTCATACGGGGATGCGGAGGGAGGTGGAGTGAAATATGCTGTATTTGCTCACGAGCAAATGTCGGTCTTTCTAGTGTTGTGTTTGAATTTAATCTAGGAATGGAGTGATTCACAAAGTGAGGACAAAGAAACGTGACTGTAGCTTTAGATCGGGTTAAATCCTTCAAACTCATCACTTCAGAAACTCACTATTATCTGCACGCAACGCAATCAACGTTGATGTACATGTGTCGTGGGGTTGTGTGGCGTAACGGCATAGTGCTTTACTCGGAACCAAAAGATCCCGGGTTCGAGTCCTGGCATGCCACCGATCTTGTGCCCTTGTGAAAGGCACTTGACACGACTTTCCTCACTTAACTCAAGTAAAAATGAGTACAGTCTTGTCCTGTATTTGTCCTCTGCGTTGGTGATGGCATAAAATAAGTTGATATAACTTGAGTGTGCCGTCACCATGTCTAGTCATGAAATGTTAGAATAAAAAAAAGCATGCGTCTGTCCTAACCCTTCTTTTGTTGAAGCCAACACAAACTGACATCTGCGTTCTTGATTGGGCGAAAAAGTGTGCATGAATATTTAATGTGGTCTACCATGTGTATGTGGTGGTTAATGACAAACAGATGTCTGCGCACAAGGTCGAATTAGTGAGATAGTTGTCGGCGTTCCGGTGATCACGTGAATAAACATGGACACCAAACGTGCTTTACGTTACAGCATACGGGCATTTCATACATATACTTTATTGACACAACAAAAGTACAGCGACTTTCGTAAGGTGTAAGACTGCATGTAGATATACAGACAAATATATGGGTACAACGAAATTAACCCACGTACAAGACAATAGATGAGTCAACTAATACTACTTGTTCTAAGGTCTAAACATTCTTTGATATATTTACCTATTTGTACACAGTAAGGGTTATTACCATCTAGGATGAAATTAAATGTATCTATAGCATGAAATGTAACAACTTCTGTTGAGCAAGCGGAGAGAAGGTTGAACAGCTTTGTGCGTTTATCGTTATATAGTGGACAATCCATAATAAAATGTTGTTCGTCTTCAATATCATTGGCACAGAATGGACAAAACCTCTGGTCGCGAGGGATTTTTTTATATCTTACCAATTCTATATTCAATTTATGGCTACAAATTCTCATCTTTGTAATATTTCATATGACGTCACTTGCGCCATGTTGGATGACATGTACAGTAGGTTTGTTCTACACGGTAACAGACAGCTCCTGTAATCCACCCGCCTGCCAGGTATTCACATTGTCATTATCATGACGTCAATGAAAAGCCCACATAGACAATATCGTCCGCTACTGGCGGTTCTGGTGTGCTACGTCCCACGGAAAATTTGCTTCATTTTTCCAAAATTATCATATGTATGTATTGCATTATTTTTCTATTGTTTCTAAATTCACTAAGTTTGTTTTAGTTTTGGTAGTGGTGGGGGGTCTGGGTCTCTAGAATTCAAAGTTCAAGTCACTTAAGTGTACTCATCTGGGTATCATATACTTAACCATTCCTCCCATACATTGATATCTTCTGCTTGTCATTTTAATTTTCTGACTCAGCTCACTGTATCCATAGAGTTCAGAGATCTCATACCTTCATGAAATATCTGCAGCTAGTAGTAGTAGTAGTAGTAGTAGTGTAGTAGCAGTAGTAGTAGTAGTAGTAGTAGGAGTAGTAGTAGAATGGTTTATTATTACAAGAACAAGAAAATGTACGCACAAGCCTCCTGGCAGCTATGATGGCAGAATTGCGAGGCCTATTCTGACATCATGTCATTTACGACAAACTATATACATTCATAAAATTTGAAAATATAGTTAAATTTAAAACCAAATATTTAGTTTAAAAACTACAGGAGCATTAAGTTGCGTATTACACCTTCAATACAATGTAGCTGTGTGGAAAGTGAATGAAAACACGGTGTACAATTACGGCTACTAGAATGAGTAACAAAAGTTCATGGTCTACAGTTCATTTAGTCGTTTGACCAGGGCAGGAATCCCGCTTGTCGTGTAGCTTAAATGTTTGTACATTTTACTGTTTTATTTTGTCTCATTGATCATGGAAGAAAGGCTGTACTTACTTAGTATAATTTATGTTGGTTGATGGTCCTTCCTACGCAAATTACATACGCAGCATATGTCTGAAAGTCATATCCTTTGGCAGGATTCCATTTCATTAGCTATTAATAGTGATATTCACCTTCAACTAACTTACGCATGCCACAAGTATGAATTTCCCAACATTCACAACTAATAAACCATACCATTATGCAAACGAGCCATTTATTGATAATTGGTATCAGTGAATGTTCCATCTGCTATACACTAAACATCTC